CTATATATATATATATATATATATATATATATATATATATATATATATATATATATATATATATATATATATATATATAAGAATAATAATTGACCTTTTTTCAGATTAAGAAAATAAACAACAGATTAACCAATAATTAAAATAATCTTTAGTTGCAGGGTTCTCAATTTTATACATCATTTTGACATTTATTATTATTATTATAAAAAAATGTAATTCAATTCGACCTGCAACACAATGCAAAAAATATTAACAAATATTCTTCATAAAATTCAACCGTCAAGATTGTATCTTACATTTTTATTCCTAATTTTGACTTTAATTACAGCTTTAATATGCATGACAGCAGTACAGATTTATAATATCAGGCACAATATTAGTATCAGCATTTACACAAAAATGTATTATCAGCTCAATTTTAATATTGCACTGTATTCCAAGCTGTTATCCATAAGTTCAGACCTCTGAGGCTTACACTGCAAAAAAAAAAAATTTAATAATAATTACTACTTAGGATTTTTGTCTTGTTTTCCAATAAAAATATCAAAATACATTTACGTGAGAAGGAAAATAACATAAGATATAAAACATAAGAACATAAGTCGTTTTCAAAATTTTTTATACAAATTATGAGTATGTTAAAATCAAGAAAAATAGATGGTTGTCAATGAGCAACGTAGTAAGAAATATAATCGAATTTTCCCTTTGAATTAAGTGTATCTTTCTTACCCTGTTGATAGATGTTTTGTCTTGTTTTAAGCATAACCTTGATCTTATTTATTTATTTATTTTTAAGAAACAAAGACCTAATATTTCGCTTTCAAGTAAATGTATCTTGATTTATGAATATTTATATATTTGTACTGGAAAACAATACAAAAAATACTGAGTAAAACAATTTTTTGCAGATTAGCGTCTTGATCAAGGGCAAAACTGACTATCACTAAACGAACTACCCATCCAAACTAAAACCTTTGATTCATCAGTCCAGATCTTACCCACTTAACCACACGCTGTGCAGCAATAAATGTCTCATACTGTGTAATGCACATGCAATAACACATGCACACACGACTGTAATCTGTCCCTGCATGCTCTTAGAGGCCATATGTGTGCTCTGCAGGGTGGTCAGTAAGAGATTTCATATCATGCCTTGTCAGGAAGAGTGTTTTCGACCTCCTTCATGCTGTGGATCTTGTGGTTGAGGACGCTCGACTGCTCGATGAGAGTCTCCGCGGCCGCGTCGTGCTCCTTCAGCCGCTCCAGCAGCGTCCGCGCGTCGCCCAGCACCTTCTCCAGCGAGCACATCTCCTCCAGCTCCACAAACACACTCTCACTCACTCACACTACACCGCTGCCCTCAGCGAGCCTGACGCATAACAGTCGAATCAGAAAATGTTGAGCTATATTACATATTTACTAGTAATATCTCTAGTAAGGAAAGCTGTCAAGTAAAAGAACTTCCTGTGCTAGTTAACGTCAAATACGTCAACTCTTTTGTGCGTACAGGAAATGTATTTTCAAAATAAAAGCCCTGTTTGGGGTAAAAAAAAAAAAATAATAATAATAATAAAACAATAAAAGTGCTCGAATTAATTTTTAATTTCTGTTGAGTTCTACAAATGGCGTACACAAGTTATCTCTGCATAATAACATGGGATAGAAGAAAGGATTTTAACATGTAATGCAAATAACACACTTCCCCTCTATTTTCCAAAATAAAAGCCCCGTTTGGGTTTTTATTTATTATTTATACTCAAATTATATTAAAAATAAAATAATAAAGTTGATAAAAAAAATTATATACACCCTCTAACACTAGCATTCTCTATTCTATCTCTTGACACTCTAACACTAGCACCTAGCACTCTATTCTATTTTTTATTTATTATTTAAAAAAATACCCTCTAATACTAGCGTTCTCGCTTCTATTTCTATTCTATATACCTGTTTTCTTTGTATTTATTATTAAAAGATTTCCCTCTAATACTAGCGTTCTCTAATCTATTTCTATTCTATCTACTTGTTTTCATTGTATTTATTATTAAAAGATTTCCCTCTAATACTAGCGTTCTCTAATCTATTTCTATTCTATCTACTTGTTTTCATTGTATTTATTATTAAAAGATTTCCCTCTAATACTAGCGTTCTCTAATCTATTTCTATTCTATCTACTTGTTTTCATTGTATTTATTATTAAAAGATTTCCCTCTAATACTAGCGTTCTCTAATCTATTTCTATTCTATCTACTTGTTTTCATTGTATTTATTATTAAAAGATTTCCCTCTAATACTAGCGTTCTCTAATCTATTTCTATTCTATCTACTTGTTTTCATTGTATTTATTATTAAAAGATTTCCCTCTAATACTAGCGTTCTCTAATCTATTTCTATTCTATCTACTTGTTTTCATTGTATTTATTATTAAAAGATTTCCCTCTAATACTAGCGTTCTCTAATCTATTTCTATTCTATCTACTTGTTTTCATTGTATTTATTATTAAAAGATTTCCCTCTAATACTAGCGTTCTCTAATCTATTTCTATTCTATCTACTTGTTTTCATTGTATTTATTATTAAAAGATTTCCCTCTAATACTAGCGTTCTCTAATCTATTTCTATTCTATCTACTTGTTTTCATTGTATTTATTATTAAAAGATTTCCCTCTAATACTAGCGTTCTCTAATCTATTTCTATTCTATCTACTTGTTTTCATTGTATTTATTATTAAAAGATTTCCCTCTAATACTAGCGTTCTCTAATCTATTTCTATTCTATCTACTTGTTTTCATTGTATTTATTATTAAAAGATTTCCCTCTAATACTAGCGTTCTCTAATCTATTTCTATTCTATCTACTTGTTTTCATTGTATTTATTATTAAAAGATTTCCCTCTAATACTAGCGTTCTCTAATCTATTTCTATTCTATCTACTTGTTTTCATTGTATTTATTATTAAAAGATTTCCCTCTAATACTAGCGTTCTCTAATCTATTTCTATTCTATCTACTTGTTTTCATTGTATTTATTATTAAAAGATTTCCCTCTAATACTAGCGTTCTCTAATCTATTTCTATTCTATCTACTTGTTTTCATTGTATTTATTATTAAAAGATTTCCCTCTAATACTAGCGTTCTCTAATCTATTTCTATTCTATCTACTTGTTTTCATTGTATTTATTATTAAAAGATTTCCCTCTAATACTAGCGTTCTCTAATCTATTTCTATTCTATCTACTTGTTTTCATTGTATTTATTATTAAAAGATTTCCCTCTAATACTAGCGTTCTCTAATCTATTTCTATTCTATCTACTTGTTTTCATTGTATTTATTATTAAAAGATTTCCCTCTAATACTAGCGTTCTCTAATCTATTTCTATTCTATCTACTTGTTTTCATTGTATTTATTATTAAAAGATTTCCCTCTAATACTAGCGTTCTCTAATCTATTTCTATTCTATCTACTTGTTTTCATTGTATTTATTATTAAAAGATTTCCCTCTAATACTAGCGTTCTCTAATCTATTTCTATTCTATCTACTTGTTTTCATTGTATTTATTATTAAAAGATTTCCCTCTAATACTAGCGTTCTCTAATCTATTTCTATTCTATCTACTTGTTTTCATTGTATTTATTATTAAAAGATTTCCCTCTAATACTAGCGTTCTCTAATCTATTTCTATTCTATCTACTTGTTTTCATTGTATTTATTATTAAAAGATTTCCCTCTAATACTAGCGTTCTCTAATCTATTTCTATTCTATCTACTTGTTTTCATTGTATTTATTATTAAAAGATTTCCCTCTAATACTAGCGTTCTCTAATCTATTTCTATTCTATCTACTTGTTTTCATTGTATTTATTATTAAAAGATTTCCCTCTAATACTAGCGTTCTCTAATCTATTTCTATTCTATCTACTTGTTTTCATTGTATTTATTATTAAAAGATTTCCCTCTAATACTAGCGTTCTCTAATCTATTTCTATTCTATCTACTTGTTTTCATTGTATTTATTATTAAAAGATTTCCCTCTAATACTAGCGTTCTCTAATCTATTTCTATTCTATCTACTTGTTTTCATTGTATTTATTATTAAAAGATTTCCCTCTAATACTAGCGTTCTCTAATCTATTTCTATTCTATCTACTTGTTTTCATTGTATTTATTATTAAAAGATTTCCCTCTAATACTAGCGTTCTCTAATCTATTTCTATTCTATCTACTTGTTTTCATTGTATTTATTATTAAAAGATTTCCCTCTAATACTAGCGTTCTCTAATCTATTTCTATTCTATCTACTTGTTTTCATTGTATTTATTATTAAAAGATTTCCCTCTAATACTAGCGTTCTCTAATCTATTTCTATTCTATCTACTTGTTTTCATTGTATTTATTATTAAAAGATTTCCCTCTAATACTAGCGTTCTCTAATCTATTTCTATTCTATCTACTTGTTTTCATTGTATTTATTATTAAAAGATTTCCCTCTAATACTAGCGTTCTCTAATCTATTTCTATTCTATCTACTTGTTTTCATTGTATTTATTATTAAAAGATTTCCCTCTAATACTAGCGTTCTCTAATCTATTTCTATTCTATCTACTTGTTTTCATTGTATTTATTATTAAAAGATTTCCCTCTAATACTAGCGTTCTCTAATCTATTTCTATTCTATCTACTTGTTTTCATTGTATTTATTATTAAAAGATTTCCCTCTAATACTAGCGTTCTCTAATCTATTTCTATTCTATCTACTTGTTTTCATTGTATTTATTATTAAAAGATTTCCCTCTAATACTAGCGTTCTCTAATCTATTTCTATTCTATCTACTTGTTTTCATTGTATTTATTATTAAAAGATTTCCCTCTAATACTAGCGTTCTCTAATCTATTTCTATTCTATCTACTTGTTTTCATTGTATTTATTATTAAAAGATTTCCCTCTAATACTAGCGTTCTCTAATCTATTTCTATTCTATCTACTTGTTTTCATTGTATTTATTATTAAAAGATTTCCCTCTAATACTAGCGTTCTCTAATCTATTTCTATTCTATCTACTTGTTTTCATTGTATTTATTATTAAAAGATTTCCCTCTAATACTAGCGTTCTCTAATCTATTTCTATTCTATATACTTGTTTTCTTTGTATTTATTATAAAGAAATTACCCTCTAACACTAGCGTTCTCTCTTCTTTTTCTATTCTATCTACTTGTTTTCTTTGTATTTATTATTAAAAGATTACCCTCTAATACTAGCGTTCTCTATTCTATTTCTATTCTATCTACTTTTTTCTAATTTAATATATATTACAAATGATAGAACAAAGTGTTTACACTTTTCTGTTGAATTATCCTACAAAGCTTATGTCTCTGCATAATAAGATTGGGCAGAACAAAGTATTTCAACATCTAACAAATAACACACTTCATCTTTAACTATATATGTGTTGTTAACAGTAATAAACCCATGGTGGACTGTAATTTACAGATGATTATTGAAAAATGATCTTTGCGATACAGATTGCATTATCTTGCAATGACCGTAAAATAAACATGAAGCCCTTTCAAATATGTCAGTGAGAGTTTAGAAAACATCATAAAGCATTAGCATGGGAAAATACAAACCCGTGCGTAATGTTCTGCATAAATCACAGCAGACTCATAATATAGGAAGCGTACATTAAAAGAGCCATGCAAAATGTGAGAGGAACTGTGTCCCTATGTAAACTATTACTGTAACATCCCTTTATGGTAAGGTATAATAACAATATAGCAGTAAGAGGATAACATTTGGTCTAATTTGCCAAACACTCATTTCTTTTTATTCAAAACAGGTCTGTATATTGGCCTTTTTATTACATTACATTTGTTTATCGCAGTTGGTAATGTCACACAGTCACCATGATGTCATTTAGGCCCTTGCGGTTGAGGTCAGGCACTTCGGCGTCAGATGCAGGGTAGCCAACCGGAAGCAGCATTAGAAGCTTCTCATTGGCCGGTCGCTGGAGGAGGGACCTGAGCTGTGGACCACAGTTCAGAGGGGTCGTCGTCACGGTAACCAGCCCCACATTCTAACACAAAAAATGTAAACAATACAGAGAACAATGGAATGTTACACATCATTTAAATCACAGATCCACATTTTTTTATAATCAAATGTTTGATTTGTGTGTTTGTGAAATAGCTTTTTTTGTGTCTGACCTGCAGAGCAGCCAGCAGAATGCCACAGGAAATGGACACACTGATTTCATTATAATAGTGAGTCTTTTTCTTGCCATTGGGCAGAATTCCATATGTCTGCTTAAACACTAGAATCAGATACGGAGCCACATCCAAATACTCCTTCACCCAGTTTGTCCTGTGAAAGACACCTTTACTTGCTTGTTATTTAGTGAATTGGAAAGTCATATAAATTCTTGAAATAAAATGTGTTATAGTAGAACGAACATGGTAGAAACAGACCACAAGAGGGATCTAGTAACACAGCTATAGGATTTTATTAAAG